ACCTCAAGTTATGTAAATACGTTTCAATAAACTTAAAGTAATGAGAAAATAAACTTTATTTTTTGACTTGAGGAAAGATAAACCTCTGCCGGGTCAACTGTCGTATGTTATAATATATTGAGTGTGTCTGTTGCGTTTGCTCACATAAACAGACACTAATACAGACACAGGCATTTATAGACACAGACATTCTCACACAGCCAGTGACACCCTTACACAGACATTCTCAGACACCCACAGACACTCCCAGAGACACTCACACAGCCAGAGAAGTTCACAGCCACAGACACCCATCGAGTCCTTCACAGACACAGACAGCCACCGAGTCCTTCACAGACACAGACAGCCAGCGAGTCCTTCACAGACGCAGACAGCCACCGAGTCCTTCACAGCCACAGACAGCTCCTCAGTCACCAGGAGTCGGGCAGCTGTTCGGTTATCCTCTCAAAATCGTCGGGTAGGACAAGGCCTAATACCTGGTGACAGCCGCTCGCCTCACCTGGGTCAGGCCGGGAGGGTCTTGGTCTGCTACTGGGGAAGGACTGGGGTGCTGGGGAGGTACTGGGGTGCTGAGGAAGTTCTGGGGGGTACTGGGGATGTACTGGGGAGTTGGGTAAATTATGGAGTGTCGGGTAGGTTATTGGGGTACTGGGGGAAGGTGTTGGGGATATATTGGGGGAGGTACTGGGGTGTTGGGGAGGTTGTGGGGTGTTAGGGAGGTTCTGGGGTCATGGGGGGATACTGGGTAATGGCATAGGGCAGGAGGGGAAGAGTAGGGGAGAGGGAGATGAGAGGTGCAGGAGGAGGAGAGGGAGATGACAGGGTGCGGGAGGGAGGAGGAGGGAGGGAGGTGACAGGGTGCAGGAGGGAGGAGGAAGAAAAGGGGAGGTGATAGGGTGCAGGAGGGGGAGGAGGAGGGGGGGGAGGTGACAGGGTGAGGAGGGGAGGAGGGAGGGAGGTGACAGGTGGGGAGGGAGGAGTAAACAGGGAGGTGACAGGTGCAGGAGGGAGGAGGAGGGAGGGAGGTGACAGGATTGCGGGAGGAGGAGGGAGTAAACAGGAGGTGACAGGGTGCAGGAGGGAGGAGGAGGAGGGAGGTGACAGGGGTGCAGGAGGGGGAGGAGGAGGAGGAGGTGACAGGGTGCAGGAGGAGGAGGAGTAAACAGGGAGGTGACAGGGTGCAGGAGGGAGGAGGAGGAGGAGGTGACAGGGTGCAGGAGGAGGAGGAGGAAAAGGAGATGACAGGGTACAGGAGGGAGGAGGAGGGAGGAGGTGACAGGGTGCAGGAGGGAGGAGGAGGGAGGGAGGTGACAGGGTGCAGGAGGGAGGAGGAAAGGGAGGTGATAGGGTGCAGGAGGGAGGAGGAGGAGGAGGTGACAGGGTGCGGGAGGGAGGAGGAGGAAAGGGGAGGTGATAGGGTGCAGGAGGGGGAGGAGGAGGAGGGAGGTGACAGGGTGCAGGAGGGGGAGGAGGAAAAGGGAGATGACAGGGTACAGGAGGGAGGAGGAGGAGGGAGGTGACAGGGTGCAGGAGGAGGAGGAGGGGAGGGAGGTAACAGGGTGCAGGAGGGAGGGAGGAGGAAAGGGAGATGACAGGGTATAGGAGGGAGGAGATGACAGGGTGCAGGAGGAGGAGGGCAGGGAGGTGACAGGGTGCAGGAGGGGAGGAAGAGGGGGAGGGAGGTAACAGGGTGCAGGAGGGGAGGAGGAGGGGCAGGGAGGTGCCAGGGTGCAGGAGGGGAGGTGATAGTCAGCTGTGTTGGAGGTGTTCACGTCACACCATCAAACCCTCCTGCTGGTGATGACTGATGGTCCGGGGAGGTCACGCCCTTGGCACCCCTCTCACACTAACCTTGCCCCAGTGCCTGTTCCCTTGGGGATACGTCAGACACTTTTGGGCTTCATCAGGCACCCTCGGGCTTCGTGAGACACCGTCGAAGCTTCGTTAGACACCCTCGGGCTTCGTCAGATACACTCGGAACCTCGCTAGACACCGTCGGGGCCCACCAAACACCGTCGGGGCCCCACCAAACACCGTCGGGCCCCACCAAACACCGTCGGGGCCCACCAAACACCGTCGGGGCCCCACCAAACACCGTCGAGACCCCACCAAACACCGCGGGGTAAGAGAGACACACACACGACACCTCGCCACAGTAATAAGCAGTAGTAGTGACGGTGGCCACAAAGAGGGGAGGCGCCTCTATGGTCCACCGACAAAAGGGTTACACGGATAAATAGCTGCGCCTTGCCCCCGTGCCCGCTGTGTTGAACTGTGGCCAGACTCCCCGCAGCACTAGCCAGCCAGTCAGACAACTAGTTATACAGTTAGCCAGCCAGTTATACAATCAGTCAGCCAGTCAGTCATGCAGTCAGCCCTCAGTGCCCCAGGTTGGAGCTGCGTCTTACTGGGTAGGTTTTAGAGTTCACGTTTTTAATGCCGTCACTCACAACTCCTTTCCATCACTCACTCCTCCTCTCCGTCACTCACAACTCCTCTCCATCACTCACTCCTCTCCATCACTCACTCCTCCTCTCCGTCACTCACAATTCTCTCCATCACTCACTCCTATCCGTCACTCACAACTCCTATCCGTCACTCACAACTCTTCTCCGTCACTCACAATTCTCTCCTCACTCTCCATCCTCTCCGTCACTCACAACTCCTCTCCGTCACTCACAATTCCTCTCCGTCACTCGCAACTCCTCTCCGTCCTCACCAACTCCTCTCCGTCACTCACAACTCTTCTCCGTCACTCACAACTCTTCTCCGTCACTCACAATTCCTCTCCGTCACTCGCAACTCCTCTCCGTCACTCACAACTCCTCTTCGTCACTCGCAACTCCTCTCCGTCACTCACAACTCCTGTTCGTCACTAACAACTCCGCGTCACTCACAACTCTTCTCCTTCACTCACAACTCTTCTCCTTCACTCACAACTCTTCTCCTTCACTCACAACTCCTCTCCGTCACTCGCAACTCCTGTCCGTCACTAACAACTCCTCCCCGTCACTCACAAGTCTTTACCGTCACTCACACCCATTCATCAGTCTCTCCGGCACTCAAAGGAAGACTGACATATCAACAAGTCATGTATAGAATATTTTGAATTGTCGCTTCATGATAGAATGTAAAAAAGTAAATACATTTGACGTGAATTAATATTAAAAGTCACTCTTTATCACAATCATCCTTGGACGGTGGTGGCGTCTCGTGGGTTAGGTTAGGTTAGATGCCGTCTACAACAGTACCGTGGCCACAAGAGTACCGTGGCCACAAGAGTACCGTGGCCACCCAGCAGTCGCCGGACACACCAAGCTTTAATAATTCATCCTGACTCCCCGGAGATCGATACACAAGAGAACAGTCAGGACCCGAGATGTCTTATGTAAACAAACAACGATAACAACACGACCACAAGTGAAGGGTAAATGTTGATAATAATGGACACACACACACACACACACACACACACACACACACACACACACACCGTAACCAGTTGCTGGAGAGTGATTTTATATCATATTTTTACTCCTCATCCTCACATAAAAAAAACAACAACTTTATTTTCATCTTAAGTCTACTCTGAACGATGAATTATAATCACATCTATCACGAAACATTAAGGAAACAAGTTATAGATTAATAAAAAAACGAAAAAATATGACTAAATACAAGACAATGTTACCTCTATCACCACTACCAGCAGCCAACAACACCCCTCCCTCCCCCCTAGAGAAGCTGTGTGAATGGCGGCTCTGGTGAGGGTGGGGGGCGCGGCCAGCCAACCCACTGTTTGTACTGAACACACAATAACAATCAATATGTGAGGGATGACGGGGTTGTTATCATTGTGCGCGCCCGGAAAACCAGCATATGTTGCCCGAATTATACACTTGGGGGCGTCAATCGTGTCTTGTTAGGGAGCTCTGTTGGGGTGAGGAGGGGAGGGGTGAGGAGAGTGTGGGGTGAGGAGGGGAGGGGTGGGGTGAGAGGGGTGAGGAGAGAGGTGTAAAAAGGGAAGAAGAAGAAGATGAAGAGGAGGAAGTGGAGGGGATATATTGTAGAAGGACAGGAGAAAAAGGAAAAGCGAGAAGGATTAGGAGAGGTGGAGAAGAGGAGGAGTAGTAGTAGAGGGGGAGAATACAATGTAGAAAGGGGAAGAAGAGACTTTAATCACTACTTTCACCACCATCATCATCAACCACCACCATCAACCACCACCACTACTACGACTACCACCACCACTACTACCACCACCACTACTACCACCACCACTACTACCAGCACCACCACCACCACCACTACTACCACCACCACTACTACCACCACTATCACCACCACTACCAGCACCACGCCTGCCTCTTAAAGGTTCGTAAAAGTCCTGAGTATATTTACAGCGGCCCACAACACCAAGACGCTCCTTCCTCCCGCCAGTAATTAACCGCCGATGGTCCTCAGATCCCGGGATAGGTGAGATAGGACGGCTAGGAGCGGGTTAGAGACTACCTGGGATAGGATGGTTTGAAGAGGCTAGGCGCGGGTTAAAGGCTAGGAGAGAGAGGTTAACTGGGGTAGATGGGTTAAGACGGCCGGGAGAGGGTTAGAGGCTAGTTAGGATAGGTGAGATAAGACAGGTAGGAGAGGGTTAGAGGCTAGCAAGTTGGAGATAGCTAGATGAATAGCAAACGTGAAGAGACGGCAAAAAAAACATTAAAACTAACAAAGAAAACGAGAAGAGGAGCATGATAAAGAAAACGAGAAAGAGGAGCATGATAAAGAAAACGAGAAAGAGGAGCATGATAAAGAAAACGAGAAGAGGCTCATAACAAAGAAAACGAGAAGAGGAGGAGCATAATCATAAAGAAAACGAGAAGAGGAGGAGCATAATCATAAAGAAAACGAGAAGAGGAGGAGCATAATCATAAAGAAAACGAGAAGAGGAGGAGCATAATCATAAAGAAAACGAGAAGAGGAGGAGCATAATGAACACTTACTCATATTAGTGTCCATCGGTTCGTCTTTTGGCTTTCGCTTTCTCGGTCTCCCCTTGTGGTGTGTCCCGACCCCGTTGTAATACTGGATTTTGGCCCCGTGATCTGGGGGAGGGAACCCCTGGAGGATCTCTGGGGGCAGGTGGGGGTGCACACCATGGTGAGGGTGGGGCAGGGGACCAGGGGGCAGTGGGGCACCCGGCAGCGCCCCAGGAGGCATGCCCATAGGGGTGACATACCCACTCTCGAGTAATGTTGACATCTGTTGGGGTAAAAGAGATATAATATTTAATAGACAGAGGTACAATATTTAACAGATATGGGCATAATACAACAAACTGGGGTATACTATAGCGGACAGGGGTATACTATAGCGGACAGGGGTATACTTTAGCGGACAGGGGTATACTATAGCGGACAGGGGTATACTATAGCGGACAGGGGTATACTATAGCGGACAGGGGTATACTATAGCGGACAGGGGTATAATACTTAAAGAGACAAGTATGATATTTGAGAGACAACTATAATAACATTTGATGCTAGCTATAACCTTTAGTAGGTATCGACACAAATATTATAACGAATGATATAACATGTACTATATATATATATATATATATATATATATATATATATATATATATATATATATATATATATATATATATATATATATATATATATATATATATATATATATATATATTTATTTATTTATTTATTTTTTATGGAACACCCTATAACAGATGAGATAAACCAAATGATATGTATCTTGTGTAAATAACGATTACTGTTGGTGATTTGCATTGTTGGATCCTCGGCTCATTTGCATACACCTGATATTAATTTGCAACATATGATATACACGTGTTGCATAGATAAACAGCTATAAATTGATAAACACGTGTTGCATAGGTAAGCAGTTGTAATTTGATAACAGGTTTTGCATAAGTTAACAACTGTAAACAATGGTAAACACGTGTTTCATAGGTAAACAATTGTAAATTGATGAACAGGTGTTAACATTTGTAAACAGTGTATACGTGTAATTTATTTTGCACCTGACTGTAAGACCTGTGTGCGTGTGTGTAACTCAACACTGTACCTGCAGACTCACCTGGTAATGGTCCCTGCAGTAGATCAAGGGACCACTCATACCGAACTGGTCACCCTTGGTCAGCTGAACATTACAGTGAGCGCAGGTGAAGCACTGAACGTGGTACACAAACTCTCTGGCCCGCATCACTAACTCCGAGCTGCTGATGGCCTGTGAACATCGTGCACATCGCCGCATGCTGAACAACCTGTACAATAGAGAGAACATGGGAGTTAGTTGAAGAACATGTGAACACAGGAAGAAAACGAGTATTAATTGCATCGTAAACAACTTGTGTACAACGAAGAATAGACGTGAACAATATAATAATGGTGGTACACTGGTAACGCGCATAACTCTCACCAATATGTCAAGGGTTCGAGCCTCGGCCCAGACACACGTGAGATGGCTATTGTTATCCAATGTGACCCTCACTACCAAACACCACAGGTTTCCCAGTCCTTGGTTTCCTCCTGTACTAACATTGGATAGGCCGCCCAAACGACTAGCAAGCTGATAAGTGGCGAATATGATAAAAAAATAATAATAATAATAATAAAATACATTTGAAGAAAAACAAAAGAGTTAATCCTCAAAAAGAAAATGGAAGAGAGAGAAAACGAAGAGGTAAATTGGCCGTAACTTAAGAAAAAAAGAGAGTGCATTTGCTCTCTCTCTCACTCAGGAAACGTTTTTATAATATAAGTATAATAATTAAGTTTTTATTTAAAGAACGAAATTTTTATAGTCTGACATCTGGATAAGTGTGTGGGGGGAAGGGGGAAGGAAGTTTGTCTCCGTACTCAGGTGAGATGGAAGGAGTCTGTCAGTCTGTATACACCTGTCCCGGGGGGGGGGGGTTACAATGATGAGTACTTTTTTGCCTTAACCAAACCTAACCTAACCTCCTTCAATTCCTCCCGCATGTACACTTGAACATTATATTATTGAATGTGACACTGCCAAAAACTTCAGGCCACCTGGCATATTGTATCATGAACTGTGTAATTACTACATTGAATCAGGAGTGTTTGAGGACATTCTTGCTGTTTATCCCAAATTTGCTGCTGGTCCACACTGATTGGTCCTCAAATAACAACAAGACTTCTACTGTATATGAACCTCTGTCCTGTGTGGCAGTTAACAGTGATATCACCCACATGACTCTGACCTATATATACTATTAATGAACATGATCTATTTCTTTGTGTATGAACCTGTGTCCTGTGTGGCAGTGAGAAGTGATACCACCCTCAGTGTCAAGACCTTATTGAATTACTCAGAATAGGCAAACTGTACTCCAAGCTTTGCCGGTAAATTTGTTATCCGTTAAACTCTCTTCTTCACCCCATTCTCTCTCTCTTCCTCTATCTTTCCCTCACTCACTCCCTCCCTCCATTTATACCTCTCTCACTCCCTCCTTCCCTCACTCACTTCCCATTCCTTCCTTCCCTCTCCCTCTCTTTCCCTCCCTCACATATTAGAAGTCACTCCCTCCCTCCCTCCCTCCTGCCTGCCTGCTTGCCTGCCTTCCTTCCCACAGCACCTCACTTTCCTCCCTCCCTCCACCACCAGCAGTATCACCTTCGTCAATATATTAAGTCGTGTACAAAAAAAGAGGAGGGTGAGGTTTAACCAATCAGGGCGGGGCTAGCTGTCACGTGACCCCGCCTCCCATCACGTGATTGGCTGATAACATCATAGTGGCTGGTACGGTCGGTTGACTACTTTGAGGGCGGTTGTTTCTGAATGAAAATTAGTTTGTTGAAGTGTCCGAACATATTGTAACACTATGGGTCACCTGAAGATTAGACACCCTAGCTTATTTCACCTGAAGGCAACAAGAGAGAGAGAGAGAGAGAGAGAGAGAACACACCATCATCCATTCTATTATCAGCTATCGTCGCTGTTACTCTCTGGGGCAGAGCTGTGCTTGTCTGGGGGTGATCAAAAGGCACGTAGAATTTTTTCTCTGGGGGTGGGGAAGTCTGAGAATGGACCTGGGATATGGGCATGGCTGGGGTTACTATGAGTGATGTCAGGGCATGTCTAAGGGGTGTTTTTGACCTTTCTCTCTGGGTGATGTCTGGGGTTATATGGAAATTCAGCTGGATATAATATTTTCTAACCTTATCTATGGATCTCAGGGGACATATCTGAAATATCTCTTGGGGATAGATTCAACGACTCATCCCCTTACGAAAAGCAACAAAAAACTTCCCTAACCTTATCTAGGGGACACCAGGGGTAATATCAAGTTTCTCTGGGGATAAAGTAAATTACAGCTGCATATTACCTTATCTGAATTTATCTGTGGGGACATCAGGGGGAGGGAGGGAGGGATATCTCGGAGGGGGAAAGAGGGATACCTGGGAGGACCATTAGGTGGGGGGGGAGGGGAGGAAGGAATCTGAGGGTGTCTTCCAAATCCAGTTACGCATCATTGGGGGGAAATCTTTTGACCTTATCTGGGGGAAGAGGGTGTGTGTGGGGGAGGGGGTGTGTGTGGGGGAGAGGGTGTGTGTGGGGGAGGGGGCTGGGGGCGTCTTGATGTTTCGTCTGGCGGGTGTCAACAGGATTCAGCTGCTTACGAGAGCTATTTGTCCAACACTGTATCCAAGGTTGTCTGTCGCCTCGTCTGGATAAGAGAAGTATTTTTCTTGAGTTTTTTTTAGTGTGTGTGTGTGTGTGTGTGTGTGTGTGTGTGTGTTATTTTCTCCCTGTAAGTACACTCAGTCTCACTTTACCTGCGTATTGTGTCTGTTTTATAAGTGTAAAGTGTAAATTATGATCCATGATGCTGCTATCTGTATAAGTATAGCATTGAGAGTTTTCCACACACACACACCAACATCCCTGATCTAACATATTTCCTCACCAAACGGGAAACAGACGAAGTGATATCGACAAACCAGTTCCTCCCCCTCCCTCCCTCCTCCCCTCCCCCTCCCTCCCCCTCCCCTCCAACCGTTCGTGTGTTTCATATTGTCTCTCGTTTTTCTTCTGTTTTATTTGGGAGGTAAATTGTATAGTACACACAGTAGACAAAAAACAGTATGGATTAAAAAAAAACAACACCCCAAAAAACACACACACACACCAGATATGATTAGAGAGAGAGAGAGAGAGAGAGAGAGAGCCAAAACCCCAACACACACACACACACACACACACACACACACCACTCTCTCAGCGCTATCAAACACTCCTCTCAGCTCTACTATTTCTCAGTATCGTTATGTTAAACTATCTCCCTCACAAACAATAATAACCGGTCGGAAATATCGCTCCGGGTCATAATGTGGCGATAAATAGTAATTAACCTACCAAAAAATCGTCCGAGAATAATGTAGCGATTAGGGCTGAATTAAAATTTCCGCGGAAGTGTAATAAAGAAATTGAAGTTTTGTTATTGAAATATTTGTGTATTTTTGTGTTTTATCGCGATACAACAACAGCTGCCGAGCGTCCAGGCGTGTCGGTGAGGTTCTTGTGTGTGAGACAGAGAGATAAAGTGAGTAAAGTAGATAAATAGAGAGAGATAAGCGTAACCTAACCTAACCTAACACCCAGCTAACTTAACCTAACACCCAGCTAACCTTACCGAATCTAACACCCAGCTAACCTAACCTAATCTAACACCCAGCTAACCTAACCTAATCTAACACCCAGCTAACCTAACCTAATCTAACACCCAGCTAACCAAACCTAACCTCACCTAACACCCAGCTAACCAAACCTAACCTAACACCCAGCTAACCTAACCTAACCTAACACCCAGCTAACCTAACCTAACCTAACACCCAGCTAACCTAACCAAACTTAACGTCAACCTAACCAAACGTAACTTAACCTAACCTATCTTTACCTAACAGCAACCTAACCTAACCTAACCTAACCTAATCTAACTAAAGAGAGAAGAACAATTAAGCTGACCCGACGCGTCTAAACAATAGCTAAGAGAACAGACTTCCTTCCATCCGTCCGTCCGTCCACCCATCCGTCCGCCCGCCCGCCCGTCCGTTTACCCGAAAAGTAGACAGAGAAACAAAAACAGAATCACTTGGACGACAAAAAACGGGGAAGGGGTGTGTGTTGGAGGGAGTGAGGGAGGATGGAGGGAGAGAGGTGTGTGTGTGGTGGAGGAAGGTATGGGAAGATGGAATAAGGTGTGTAGGAGGGATTGATGGAGGAAGGTGTGTGTGTCTGTGTGTGTGTCTGTATGAAGAAGGTGTGGGAGTGATGGAGTGAGGGAGTGAAGGAGGGTCTGCCCAGTAGCAGGAGATAATCAACTCCCTCTGATAAAACAGGTTAGGTCCGGCCACCAGCTGTCCCCCGCCACTACCACTACGATTCATCCTGCCACCATCGCCTCGACCCACCGCGCCACCCCATCTTACTCGTCTGGTCACTGATAACACGAGACACAGCCCGGGAAATGGATGGTGGTGAGAGTCTCGGGGGGGAGGGGGGGGGTGGAGGGGGGTATCGCTTGGAGATTAGACAGATTAGACGCTCTTAGCTTATTTCACCTGGAGATTAAATATCCTAACCTAACCTAATTTAACATCAGCCTAACCTAACCTATCCTAACCTAACCTAATTTAACATCAGCCTAACCTAACCTATCCTAACCTAACCTAATTTAACATCAGCCTAACCTAACCTATCCAATCCTAATCTAATCTAATTTAACATCAGCCTAACCAAACCTAACCTAACCTTACCTGAAGATTAGAAAGACACTTTTCACCTGAACATTAACCGCGTTAACCTAACCTAACCTAACCGAACCCATCCAGGATTATTAGAGACAATGGGTAGGTGTAAATATGTAGACTAGTGTGGTGGTGATGGTGATGGTGGTGGTGGTGATGTCGGTGGTGGTGGTGATGTTGGTGGTGGTGGTGATGTTGTTGTTGGTGGACATGACAAACAGTGTTGCTGGAATAAGTAACTGAATATCAACTTTAGTAATACATTAGGTTAGGTTAGGGATTCGTCAGGTTAAGTTAGGTTAGGTTAGCATTAGGGTGGTGCATTAATCTTTAGTCAACTTAAAAGATAGAAAAATAAACCGCTACCGGAGTCTCTAATTGAATACCTTGAACTTGTGTTGAGTATTAACTGAAGTTTTAATATTTTATGAACTTAAAGATGGCTATCGTGTTGCTTGACCACCAGACTCTATGAATCTTTAATCTAACA